CTCACTCCACTCACTCCACTCACTCCACTCACTCACTCACTCACTCACTCACTCACTCCTCCACTCACTCACTCACTCACGCACCCACTCATACGCACTCACTCACTCACTCACTCACTCACTCACTCACTCACTCACTCACTCACTCACTCACTCACTCACTCGTACAGACCTGGAAGCAAGCCAAACAAACACTCCCCCAGCAACCCTAAGCCCGCCCAACATCCATAAGCAACTCATTTTAAATGCACACAACTCACCTTTTGAAACTAAGCCCAGTCCACTCCAGAGCTTATCTTGGCGGTTTTCAGCTGTTGGGGGAACCCTAAGCCCAAGCGCAAGCCGACCCCAAGCGCCCCGGAGACAACTCGAAATCTGCCTTGGGCTTGGACTGAGCTAATCCTGGGCAAACCCTGAACCCAAAGCCCAATTTGAATGATTTGTATTGCTTTGATTGTCCTGCTTCATCTTGGCTTTCAACCACCAAGCGATTTGTAATTTCCATGATGTTTCTTGCTCGACCCCCTCAACCATTTCTTGCTGACCCAGGTGCTTTTGTTTTGATTCTCTAGCATGCTCTTTGTCCCAACCGACGCCTTCAGGTTTGACGCCACGCCCCAAAATATGAAACGCTCTTTTACATATCCTGCCACGAGCAAAGATCGGAAGTGTCTTGATTCCTAGGCTGCGAGGGTGGGCGTGGGTATGAGGAGCATCTCAGCATGTGGACCCCTGGCGCATGACCGCCTTTGGGGAACCCTATTTTGGGCAACTCCGTCAGGAACTGTGCCGAAGAAGAAGACAGCCGAAGCCAACGCCGAAGCAGCCAAAGCTGCAGCTGTGAAGAAGCCCTTCAGGCAACTGGCCCTCCGCTTCCATCCAGACAAGGCCCAAGACAGCCGGAGATCTGGACTTGGGAAACGCATGAGCGGATGGGAACGTGTTAAGCTTGACCAGGGCTAGACAATGATACAAATCCTGGAGGAGTCCGCACAACTGAGACCGGCGCCTAGCATCAGTTGTTAGCCTCTTCCCCTTTGGTCGACTACCTCTTCCTCTTGCTCTGTCTAGTTCCGCTTGTTATGTTCAGTTTATTCTGCAGGTGCTGGCGTATTGTGTTTGCATTGTTGCTGGGCTGTTCAACGGATTGTTGTTGCGGCTGTTGAGCGCGGATAGAACTCTGTTGCAAGGACTCAGCTTTTTTGCCGATGAGATGGACACGATTGCTCCCTCATTGCCAACTGCAAGGTCCGGAAGCAACAATGAAGAGGTCACGGAGGCGCGGCTTCGATTTGTCAAGCAAACTGGTGAGTCCCAATCACACAGTTCAAGACCGAATGAACTGGAAATATTGTTTGTTGAGCAAATCCTATATAGTCCAATTCACTTTACGTACAGACTTGTAAGGCTCTCACCAACTCCAAGCATGAAACGTTCGAAAGGCATGGGAGACGGGCGACTTCACGTGGTTTAGGACAGGTCCCTTTCGCAGGGCATGATTCACATTGAAGGCTTTGTGGGACAAAAGAGAATGGACATTCGCCTAGCTTCTCACAAACTTACGAGGCGATTTGCCGAGCGGGATGACTGACACGGAAAAAAAGGTGCGAGGGGCGATTTTTTGAGGTGGGACTTTTGGTTGGTCATTGGTTGCAACTCATGCCCAACTAGTTCAGAGGGCCTTCCCCATTGCAATTCACAGCCAGGGAGCTTGCGAAGACCCACGCAGCAGCTGAAGTGGCCCTTGTGTTCTGGACTGATGTTGCTGGAATCTGCGATAGAGGGTGAGACGGGTTGAGATGGTTGAAGCTGTTTGTCATCGGACAAGTGGGCGTGGTGCCTGGTAAAGTTAGCGACCTTTCAGGCCAAAGGTCCTTGAACGCCAGTCCTTTGTGGATGCGCCGCAAGCGTGACATTTGGAGGGATACACGCGCGCCTCTTAACAATCTGATTGCCATTCAAGCAC